TTAAAAAAAAAAAAAACAGGAGGCCTGGAGAATGGTAACAAATTCCATGGTATAAAGCAATACATAATCAGCTCAATTATTCATGGAACACTACAGGTTATCTTCATTAATCCAGATGAAATGATAGGTAATATATTTTATAGGAAATAGAGCATAGAGTTGGCAATAGAACTTTTTAAATTAATTTTGTTGGAGATAGTTCTATCTTCTACACTATTTAAATATGCAAATGGGCATGCAAAATAAAGACATATGGATTACAGCAAAATAAAGAAATAGTTATACCATATATAGTCTTAATAATAGAACCCATCTGCAGTACAGTGAAGTCCTTCATGCCGCAATACCAGTGATTCTTAACTAAATTCTCCAAACACTAAACCATTCGGACTTGTATTATTATTCTGTCTGTTACATAGTTACAATAAAATATTTTTTGCAAGAGTATTGACTTATCTAGGTGATAATACATTACTGGTTTCACACAGCAGTGAGCAGAATCTGAGCCCTGCACACCCATGTGCATAAAGGCATGCACACATTTTTCAAATTTCTTAGGGAATGTATGTGCTCTCCTTTTGCCCCCAAATCAGACTATGTGAATCTGGAAAAAGCTGGATTGAAACACAAATATGAAATATGGGAATTTCTAAAGTGTTAGGTTAGAAGGAGCTTCATACATAATTTAAAACATATGAATAGAGAGTTAAATACTGTTCCCCCAGTACAATATTTTACCCCAGAAGAATTCTTCACAAGGCATATACAGCTTGAGCTTAGTAAATGTTAATAAAACCTTGTGAAGTGACAATGATAATATGAGAGCAAAGGGGGAAGGAAAGGCAAATGGGGACTCAGGGCAGGGGGAATAGTGACATTTTCAACTTCTTTCCAAGTGTCTGCAAACACAAATGGAAGCTGCTCGCCTCCGTGCACAGTTGTCTGATGGCATTTGCTTGTGGTTTGCTCTTACATTTTTTTCTCACTGGGTAATACAGAATTACAACATGCACACCACTTTAGTACTCAAAATTCGCAAGTGGTACACAGAAAAATAAGCAGGTAAGACACCCATATGCTTAAGATAAAATAGTTTTTTTTTTTTTTTTTAAGAAAGAGAAAAGATGCTTGGGAATAACTACAATGACCCAAAAGACAGTAACAGTTCATTTTTCCTGAGTGCTTACCATGTGCAGGTATCATATTTCACACACAACACTGTAACTTTTACAACATGTATTAAGAAAGGACATTGCTTTACATGTGTGGACAGTGCTACCCAGAGTGAAGGATTAATTCATCCAGGAGGTGGAGGTAAAAAGGGACACAGCCTGGATTGGACTTGAAACCTGTCACAGGTGGGGTCAAGGTCATCCTCAGAAATTCTGGGCATTGAAGAACCTTCACACTTTACTGACAGGTTTTCCAAAGGAGATATACAAATGGGAAACAGGTCTATGAAGAAGTGTTCAGTATCATTAACAATCAGGCAAATGCAAATGAAATTATAAGAGTTGATGCCCCCACTGCTAGGATGGATACAATCAAAAAGGCAAAGAGAGAAGGTTTGGTGACGATCTGGAGAAAATGAATTCTTCCATTGTTGTTAGAAATGCTAAACAGAACATTTATTACATAAGACAGTATGTCAGTTCTTCAAAATCTAAAAATAGAATTACCATATGGTCCTGCATGTTGAGATCTCTACACTCCCATGTTTATATACCAACCAAGATCTGGGATCAGCCATAGTGTTCATTGGTGAATGAATGGAAAAGAAATGGGTTTCACATACAATGGACTATTTTCTTAGCCACAGAAATGAAATCCCACCATTTACAACAATATGAATGGACCTGGAGGACAATATGTTCAATGAAATAAGCCACACACACAGAGAGAAATTCTTATGATCACATATGTAGAATCCTCTTGCAACAAGAAACATGGAATGGGCCTGAGTATCTTAATGCGTGAATGGAAGACTGTGGTATGTATACATGATGGAGTATTATCTATCTGAAAAAGGAGCTATTTTCTCTTTGTAATAACATGGATGAATTTGTAGTGAAATGTGCTATGTAGTGAATACTGTGCTAGTGAAATGAAACAGACAGAGAGGGGCAAATAGTGTATGATGATTTCCACTTGTTTTTAGAACCTTAAAAGTTAGACTTAATAAATGTATAAAACAGGCTCAGCAGAAATAGGGACATGCTGGAGAAAGGCACAATCAGTGATCACATGACAAGCTCTGAGGCTTTACTACTACAGAAATGGGGACATGCTGGAGAAAGGCACAATCAGTGATCACATGACAAGCTCTGAGGCTTTACTACTACACAATTTGGGGAGAGGCGGATAATTTAATTGTAATAACTGAACAAGGTATGTGCACATGACCTCAAGTTTTGTACTTGCATGTAGTCAACATTATCAATAAAGCATATTAATGTTTGATATTAATATATTATCATATTCCAATGTAATAGATATGTGTAACTTTTAAGTGAAAAATAAAGCACAGAATAATCACCAAACAGAGACTGCACCTGTCTTATTCACCACATTTCACAGCTCTACTGCTAGACTATGCATCCCATCCATTCCGTACACAAGACCCTCTGAAGCAGACCCGAAGCGTTGGGATTTAGCACCCAGACTCGACTCGAGAGTGAAGGAATACAAATCAATGGCTCATCACATCAACTTCCTGTTCCTCTGTGTGAGGGTTCTGGGGAATCTCTGCATTGTCCCTCTGTAAGATGTTCAGCAGGAAATGCCCTCTGTCACCCATAGAAGTCATTCATTCACACACATGTCTACTTCCTGTTCTTCTACCATCCCAGTGTCTTACTCCATGCCCTCATGATGTATCCTAGGTCACTTCTCAAATGTTTATGTCCATAAATTATTTTAAGAACTGCTTTTTGATGCTGGGAAAGGTGATCTAGACTAAGGAAGAGGTCCTATTGAAAGTTAAAATATTATTTTCTCTCCAAGCCACTTCATTGTGCTGTGTGACCCTCCTTTCTCGAAAGAATTGAGTGCTACAGGGCTTCCAGATTTAGATGCCGTCTTTATCTCTACTCCAGTTGGACTACTATGTCATCCAGGTAACTTACCAGAAACACCAGCATGCTCGCGTGTGTATGTGTGTGTGTATGTGTGTGTGTGTATGCGTGCACGAGAGAGAGTGCACAGACACACCCAGACACACATGCACTTTGCAGAACTATTATTGGCACTGAGTGAAACAAAGCATGAAAAGCAGTCAACTATATCAAGTTCAGATTCTAAGAAACCAAAACTGTCTCCTCTGAATTTATTCTGTTAACTTGAACTAACAATGAGGGTCTTCTCAGTATCAATATAAACTAAAAGTCTAACTCTTTCTTACTACTTAGTGTGAAAAGGAGTGCTGTACTATAATAAACATGGTTTTCTGTTTGCATTACTACACAACCTTATATATGGAGCTCAGAATACCTATAAATAATATCCATATCATGAAGAATGAAGATTAATGTGTAATAATTTGTGACAGTAACTACAAAGCTATCACAAAATGGCCTATCATTAACAAACTAGGACAGAAGTGGCATTCAGCCCATCATGGTTAAAAAAAAAAAAGACCAATGGGAGCATGAGCACAAGTAAGTAAATGCATTGTTTATATGGAAAGCAGTATTTAAGGCAAAGCACAGTAAGCTGTCTCCTTTCAGTGGCCATTAGCATCCTATATACCGAGGTCGCAGTAGACCTTTTGAGTTTGAATTTGCTACACTATCTGTGAGAACTTGCTTCATTTCTATAATTCTTTCTTTATACACATTCCTCTACCTCTTAAAAATGGTTCACTTTCTTCCATACGATTTAGAGTTTGAAATATTACCTGTTGGCTACATTTTCGCTTACTTATAAATCATGTCTGCAGCCATTGGTTTGTGTTGAAAGTCGAGAACAAAGTCAGTATCCATCTACACTGAATCAGAAGCAGCTAACGGGATCACAGGGTACACATGAGTCTGAATTCATGGCTGCATTCGTACTCCATTAATCAGTATCTAATGCATGCCAGCCCATGCCCGTATGAACCCAGTCACTCTGCCTCTGGGGCACTGGTTTGGGTCAATTAAGAGTTTTACTCAGTGAGAGGGCATATTGTTAACTTGCCATCTGGCCCAACAGGTGAAGTGGCTCACTCAACCCTAAAGAGTCCCCAAGTGTCACTCGTGGGCAATAGTTGGCCTACTAGGTAGAGGCACTATTATCAGTTCACAGCGTTCTTCAATTCTTAGAAAATGATTGAAGGACAACTCCCCCACTAGAAAAACCATAAACTGGAGTTAGTTGGCCAGAAAAGGGATCGCTTACCTGCAGTAGACCTTTTGAGTTTGAATTTGCTATACTATCTGTGAGAACTTGCTTCATTTCTATAATTCTATCTTTATACACATTCCTCTACCTCTTAAAAATGGTTCACTTTCTTCCATACGATTTAGTTTGAAATATTACCTGTTGGCTGCATTTTCGCTTACTTATAAATCATGTCTGCAGCCATTGGTTTGTGTTGAAAGTCGAGAACAAAGTCAGTATCCATCTACACTGAATCAGAAGCAGCTAACGGGATCACAGGGTACACATGAGTCTGAATTCATGGCTGCATTCGTACTCCATTAATCAGTATCTAATGCATGCCAGCCCATGCCCGTATGAACCCAGTCACTCTGCCTCTGGGGCACTGGTTTGGGTCAATTAAGAGTTTTACTCAGTGAGAGGGCATATTGTTAACTTGCCATCTGGCCCAACAGGTGAAGTGGCTCACTCAACCCTAAAGAGTCCCCAAGTGTCACTCGTGGGCAATAGTTGGCCTACTAGGTAGAGGCACTATTATCAGTTCACAGCGTTCTTCAATTCTTAGAAAATGATTGAAGGACAACTCCCCCACTAGAAAAACCATAAACTGGAGTTAGTTGGCCAGAAAAGGGATCGCTTACCTGGGGGCCAGGCTGACCCTGAAATTGAAAAGAAGAAAAACAATTATAAAATTGATGTTTATAATGAGTATTTTCAATATATTACAATTTAAAATAGTTCTCAACATCTTTAAAATACTTCTAAAGATAACAATACCAGTAACTTCACATTGGATGGTAGTATTTTGATCCTGTGAATTGAAAGGATTGGGCTTATGGCTATTGCACACTTGATTCAGTGTGCTCAGGCATTTGAATGTGGAAAAGCTTGTCAGAGAAAATACCCCCATATCACAGTAATGTGTGATGGGTAACTGAAAAGTTCAAGTCTTCCAGCACACATAATTACTGGCCTACATACTCTACTACGGCAGAGCTACAGTAACAAAAAGGAGTCCATGGCTTCCTCATTCTTCCGAAGTTTGGAGGTTAATTTTTTCATAAACATCTTCCTTTTACTTTGTATAATCAAACCTAAGGACATTTTAAAATAAGGTCTGTAAGGGATCTTTGGAAGATTAAAATGCACCCCCATTCCTCCAACAGTCAATAGATTATGTGACCTTTGGCCAATCTAATCTTGGCCAA